AGCAGCCAAGGGAAAGTGGAAATCCCTGGAGGGATTTTATGAGCTTCTTTGCTCTGAAAGGAATTTTTCCCATATGTACATGGAAAAATTCCATGTACTGCAAGCTTTAAAAACCATGTTGCTTCATGTGGGCAGGTTTCCTTTGTAGTTACAGTTTATTTGAAAAAATCCAAATATGTAACTATTGTTTATCTTGTTTATTTGTTCATTCTTTCCCATCAGTTACCATGGTAACATGGACTGCTTTGATATCAGTCAGAAATTTGTTTGTATCCTGTCGTCGTAAATCTGTAACTTCAAACTGTAGATTTTGTTATGAGCCCCAGACTTTCTTTCTAGCCAAATTGCTCTGTGGCTACTGTCCCGTAATTCATCAAGAATGCTTTACGACTGAGAAAAGGCAGTTGTGCTAGAGTTGTCCCTTTCTAGAAGACGCAGATAGCTTTTTATTTTCACAGAGGTCCTTGAAGGTCACGCTGTGCTCCGTTTTCACCTTCTTTTTAGTATAAGACCCTAGCAAGTAAAGGCATTAGGGCCTTGGTGTGGTATTAACCTTCTCATCTAACTGCAGTCCTCTAATATCTGGCTGCAGCACCCAGCTCCGGTATACATAATATTAGTAAATAAGGACTGGTTTTGCTTATTTGTTTGCTTAAGATTTTCAGAGCAAGGTAACACTTGACAAAAGATAAGCATTTGTATGCAATGCTTCACATCGGCCATCTAGTCTTTCCTTTCCTTCGTCTAGCCTTAAGATTAAGAGATCAGGGTGCAGCAGGTAAGTCTGTGACTAAGTCTGTGCAGATCTCCATAAATCTGCAGTTCGGACACGGGAATCACAGACAGTCCAAGGCACTGCACTGCTTGCAAGGCTAGACCTGCCAGAGGTATTGAGCAGGGAAGGATGCCCACCTGAGGGCTCACACCATACAGAGCCGCTGCTCTAGCTGTGTGTGTGTGCACGGCCCAAGGGCAATAGCAATCCCTGCTCTGGGGCGCAAGGGATGCTCCTCCTGCGCTTCCTGACGCGTAGCTCATCCTCAGCACAGAGGGCAGGAGTCAGACCTGCCTTTCTCAAGACTGGCAAAATTGTCTGTTCCTCTTCCACAAATTGAAACTTGGAGTGGTGTCACAGCTGGGGTGGCTTGGGCTTAATTCCTGTAGTTTCGTCTACAAGCTGCAGCATAGCCCTGGGCAGGGAAAAGACAGACCTTGCAGAGCACATCTCTCTCTGCTGCCTTCTTTCTAACCACTGAACTACGGTGCTTAGGGATATTGTTTCCTTTGGATTGGTGTGGGGTAACTGATCCAGGCAGGCAGCAGGACTCAAATCTGAGGTCTGCAGGAAAGCCTTCGACACACCAGGAAATGAAAAAAAAAGTTAGATAAACTCTGTGGGTTAGTCAAGCAGCCTTGTGTTAGCATGGGAACAAAGCCAGTAGATTATTTGCCTTTTAGTTAAGAAAACAGTAGTTCTCAAAATAATACACCTAAAACACTATAAACTTGTTTAAAAATGGAATATTGCAAGACCTTGCCTGCTTGCAGTGAGCTCGTCTGTGAAACATGCAGCCAGAGCTCCTCTGCCTAGTAGGGAGACAATATTAAAAACAAATGAATAACTTACCAGCCCCAGGTGATTTGGGCTAGATTTATTCCCTGCTGTGGAGATGCTTGTGCAAGAGAGAGAGTTGAAAAACTGATGCGGCTAAGGCTGCTTGGCTCGCGCTCTCTGATGGGCAATGGGAATTTCTCTCTTGGAATTTGTTATAATTGGGCTCTTCTCCGATCAGCTCCCAACTCTTACAGGTCCAGCCCCCCTGCACAAGGAGTTAGTGTGTCTTGAACTATTTCAGGCTCTCTGAATTCAGTCTCAGCCTCTTCCAGGTCTGTTAGCACTGTTGTATTTTTCCAGCTTTTCCTGCCCTTGGTCTCCAGTCTTACTGAAATTACGGTTTTTTGCATGCAGAAAAGAGCAACAAGTAATGCAACTTTAGACTGTTAATTATCAGTTGGCATTTCATAGTTCTCAGGGGATAAAATATGTTTTCCCATTGATCTTCCTGGGCTATGCCATTGACCAAAGATGTGGGGATAATAATATTTTCAGATCAGTAATGAAAGGATAGTTCTTTTTTCAAATAGCAGATAAATGAACACTAATGTGATACATGTCATACCAGTGGCTGAGGTTGTAAGGTTTCTTGATCAGTTCTCAGCAGTTTGTGGTTATGGTGTTCTAAAGCTAGTATAAAGGTGGAAAATTTGGAGGAAAATATTAGGTAGCCAGGGAGTGAGCAAGTTGTCTCACCGATTGCCCCATCTGCAGCAAACAGGATAGTTTGGGCGTTCCTGAACCTGTAGCTGTTGAACACGGTAGAGTTAATACTGGGAGATGGAAAAGCTGTTTTGGCACAAACCTCATCATAGAATTACTGAGAGAGACTTTTCTTGGGCTGTTGTTTCCAGCAATACAAGGAATAGATTTGGCTGAAAACAAGAGGCAGAGAGGAGCCTGAGAAGAAGTTGTTACTTTTTTGACTTTCTTTTTAAATAAGTGCTTCTTTTTTTGAGTTAAGTAAGCCAAAGATATTTTTTGCAAGATACAGCACTCAGTACAAGCAGTTATTGAAAAGCTGTGTGAAAAGAGGTCTTACTGAACAGTGAAAAGCTTTGGGAAGTTTTCCCTGCTACTCCTGAACGGCGGGCTTAGCTTTTCCCTTTGTCCCCTTGCAATATTGACATGACAGAACTTCAGTAATAACTTATCTTCACCTGTTGTTGGGTGGCCTGACAGCATTGCACCGCGTCTCTGCTTGAGGGCAGGATTATTGGTGTTAAAGCACATCAAGGAAGACACCTTGGTGGCACCTGCATTCCTGACCAGAATAAAAAGTCTAGCAATAAACGAACTTTGAAGGAGCAGTATTTGATAATCTTTTTGAAAAAACAAGATGTTGTGCAATAAGAAGAAAATTATTAGCAGTTTATTACTGCTTTGTGTCAGGATTTCCTTGTTTGATACAGCATTGGTTTATGACAGTAAAAGCTCTAGCATGCAGTATATCACTTTGCATGCGTTTTTTTGGTCCTCTTTTCTGTGGCTGAACACACAGTGCTCCAAACTGGCACGAGAAGTCATGCTCAAGGAAAAGGAAGAGGCAGTGTCGTGCAGAGGATTCCCTTGCTGGTAGTTCATAGGAGCTGCTCTGCTCTTGCATTGGCAGAAGTGTGGTTTGCATACACACGTGCACCTGGAGAAGGCTGGAGCACCACCCACCTTCCTCCAACGTAACTCTTTAAAACAGAATGAAATGGGGATAAAGAGAGAAAAAAAGTATGTGGTACACAAGATTAGGTTTACATACCCAGAAAACCAAAGGTAACCAACCACCTCCAGAGTCATCCTGGTGACTTGAAAAGAAAACTCAACATTTGTTGGAAATTTAAAAAAAAACCTTTAAGCACTTGGATCTCAAGCTGAACTAAGTCCTGAGATCACAACCTTGTGCTTTGCTTGGCCCAGAGCAGAGATGACTCTGTCTAGACTAAACAGGAGAGTGTTTTTGCTGCTGCCCTCACTGAAGATGGGGAGAAGGTACAGCACAGTGGGCTACAGGCCTGGCCAGCTGCTGGAGCTAGGGCACCATTGCAGCTGTCCTGTGGGGAGAGTGGGACCAAGCAGTGTTGGTCATAGCAAGACTTCTGTCCCCTACCCGTGTACTCGTCTCCTCTGTTGTACTTGCCCTGGGGATGACAAAAGTTGACCAAAATGTGGGAGTTTGGCTTTTTTACTGCTTTTTCCAAGTCTGAAAGCTCACTACGGTCTCTGAGTTTCATCTTGCACCTTTTATTTTTGTTATGGTCTTTGCAGAAAAATGCTCTGAAGAATATCAGAAATCTATATGTATTTACACACACGCACACAATTATCAGTGGGGAAGACCAATAAATTCTCTCTCGCTGAGTGTGAGAAAGGGGCACTTGGCTCCTGCTGTGTGTCCCCCTGTCCCTGGGTCACCATCTCATGCATTTGCAGCACTGCAGCCTCTCGCTTGGTCTGTGACTCCCGCCTGCCAGGTGCGATGGGCTGGCACGGTATAAGTTGCACTGAAAAGCGTATTGCACGCAGCTTGGCATTACAGCTTGTACCTGACATGGTCCCGCGTGTTCGCTGCATCCTGCTGCGTGACCTCATGCAAATTTTTAACACACCTGGAAGAGCTAACATTTAAGAGGTCTGATGAGAAATTTGCCGTTGACTCACATGGGGGAAGGTTGAAAGCAATTTAATAAGAGAAAATGTTTCCTGCTCATTCAGTCCTCTTTCAGATTAAAGTTATCACAAAGAACCAGCTGCTGTTAGATTGTTTCGCTTATCATTATATCACAGGATTATCTGAAACAGTCCTTATTCCTGTTGCAGCTATGTGTCATACACATTGTAAGCACTGATACCATTTTTGCAAGCGTTTGAAATTTTTCTTCCTGCAGCCAAAAACTTTCTTTTTGCAATTTTTTTTTTTTTTTTAGGATAGGTTTCTCCCAAGGTACTTGGCATAATAAAGAGGTATGTTTGCTTTTTATAGGTAAGGTGTACCGTAAAGGTGCTTAGATAGTTTAAAAGTTTAAAATGCATGCAATTTTAGAATGCATATTTCAGTAGGCAGGCAAACATTAGATTTATTCATAGATAATAATAAAGAATGCTTAGGAACAAGGAATATTACCTCCTTGGCCATTGCTTGAGTCTCCTTAGCCCAGAATTTGACAACCTGCTCAGAACAAACGTATGCCTCCCCATCCCCTCCGAATAAAAAAAAAAAGTGTTATTGTCCTTTTTAATGTCAGCCCAACTGTTTTTTCCCCTCATACTTAGCTTCATGCATTCCATTGCTTACATGCATATGCAGGAAAAAAAAAAAAAGGAAAAAAGAATAGGTCTTTTGGGGCAAAAGGTCAACCATGTGATGACTTTGAGAATTTTGTGTTCTTGAGTAATGAAGATATGTTTTGTTGTGTTTCAGTTGCTTATGTTCTTATGTGTATTTTAGGGAAAGTCACGCTATTTCACGGGTATTTCCCCTTCAACATGGAATCCCTTAGTTTATCTGGATTACAATAACTTGTGGAGGACCATGGACAAGCTGGGAAAAGAGGTAGGCTGTGTAAATTGCATCTTTTTCCTGCAATGCTCATGTCACCATGAGTAAATCTGGTTTGTTTTTTTTTTGTTTCTGGCAGGCTTTTTTATTGCTTCTTTAATATAAAAACAAAACAAAACAAAACCCAACAAAAACCAAACATCCATCAGGAAAGATACCTATGTTGCCCAGGAACTGTTAGAAATAACAGGGCTTCCTCACTGAGAGGGGGTGGGACTAGGTGATCTTTAAATGTCCCTTCCATGCGATGATTCTATGAGAGGATACAAAAAGATCTGTAGGTGTCTAAGATATCTGAAAAAAATGAGGTTGAATCTCAGAGTATGTGCTTTCTCATGCCAGGGAAAACCATTCCACGAGCTGGGAGATGAGAAGGGTTTTTCCCCCTTCCCCTGTGACATCCTTTTTAAGTAAGGATGATTCTTTTTTGTGGCTGCCTAAACTGGGCTCCAGTTTGGCTTCATAGTAATTTTATTTCTAAAATTCTTAAACAGTAAATGCCTTCAAAATTCAAGCAGTACAACTGCAGATCTTCCTGTGTGTAGCCCCTGGAGCATCATGCTGTCTTTCAAATATTTATCATCAGTTGCCTTATAATCCGGCTGCAAACCAGGGGCCCTAGCTTACAATAACCTTCAAGCATAACTAAGTGTATTCCTGCAAAGTTCATTGCGTTTATGTGGTTTTGCAGAATCAAATTTGTGCATGATATTACACACTTTTTTGTCAAATAATAGATATTTTTTAAAGATTCAAATATAAGATAGTGTCCTCACATGTCATGGTACTTACATGCAATGGATTATTATTAAGAATTTAACTGTCTAAAAATAATTTAATAGTATCTAGACATTTTTGCTCCCTCTGTAGTTAACAAAGAGACATAGGGGCCTTCAGATACCCGTGCTGTAACTGACTGAATCTCTGACTGGAGAAAGAATTTTTCCCTCAGCTGTTAGAGGACACCAAGACAACTAAATTAGAATAGACACCTCCCTTCTGGATGACTGAAGGCCAGATGAGTCCCAACATATGGATATAGTACATTGGTCAGACAAAGCTAGATTTAGTGATCATGGTACAATTCATGCCCAAAGGTGTGAATGGAAACTATTCCATTTAGTGAATTTATTCCAAATTTACAGCCATGTGCAGGGGACAAAAGCAACTCCTGGCCAACATATCGATCAACTCTGTGCTACTAACTAGCTATGACCAGGCAATGATATAGTACTGAATAATTTCTTGAATATTTTGCCTCTCTCCAGATTCCTACTGAAGCACCGTGGGATGCTCCGCATGCTGAAGAATGGGACAAAATGACCATGGAAGAGCTGATAAATAAGATTTGCTGGACCAAGTACATAACTCTTTATTGACTTTGAAATCCAGCTGCAGAATGATAGTGGCTCCCTGCCAAATTCTGGGGTACAGCTGGGGTACAGGCGGTGAGAGAGCAGGACGTGGTTGAGATGAGGCTGGTCTTTGTGATGGGCTGTTGTCAGGCGGTGGGCGAGGGCCTGTGGAGGATAAAGTGGTACGCAGAGCTCAGGTTGGCTGGCAGATGGGATTAAAGGTGCTGGGGAAACCTGGGGTTTGCCTCAGCAGGCCCGTGCACACGAGAGTGACAGCGTGGGCTCTTATCACCATGCTTTCTCTTCACTCAGTTGGAGAATGTGTGCCTTTGTCTTTAGGAAAAGCAACATGTAAATAAAACTCTGCTTTGTAGGTATGAATAAAGATCACTTGCAGGCACCGAAATGGAGGCAGAAGGAGATGAGGCGGCTTCCCCAGCCCCAGGGTAGGCTAGGAGCTAAGGAGTGATGTCCTCTCGCTCAGCTGTGTCTTCTCCTGCGCAGTTATCATATGTGTCTGCTTTTACTGCGTGAGCTGCATCATGTGTACCACGGAGCAGGCAGGTGCCGCTGGCACATCGGAGAGCAGCACCCGTGCCAGCGGGCAGCTGCTTTCCAGTGGTCACTCAATGGATGGGGCAGCGCAAGACCCGAGGAGCGGGGGGCGAGCAGCTGTTGGCTCTGGAAACTCTGGAGAAGTTCAAATGCTGCTCCTTGTTTCAGCAGTAGTGCCTCCTGGGCCTCCGAAACCCTTGGATGGAAACAAGGCAGCCGAGGCACCCTTTTGTCTTGCTTTTCACCTCCGTGGCTGGTTTGTGCCTGAGCCTGGTCGGGAGCTCCGTGTTTGTCCCAGCAAGCCTGTTGCTGTGCTTGCTCAGCTCTGCCCGTTGCCGTCCACCCTCTCTCTGCTCCTGGGAAGCTGTCCTTGAATGCCAGCCAACTCTCCTGGGCCTCTTTGCCCTACAGGGTAGTTTCCCATGAGATGCTGCCAAGCAGGTCCTTGAGGAGGATAAAATCTGCTCTTCCAAAATCCAGGATTGCAGTTCTGCTGTCTGTCTTACTCCTCTCAGGATCTTAAACTCCACAGTCTCATGGCCACTGCAGCTGAGGCTGCTCTTCACCTTTGTATCATCCGACAGGTCTTCCTTGTTTGTGAGTAGCAGGTCCAACAGAGCATCAACCCTAGTTGGTAGGAAGAGGGCCCAAGGTGATATATTGCCTAGAAAATGGCCAGTGTGTTTTATATGCCTATGAGGGACCACACTGTACAAATAAAAAAGGCACAATGTTCAATATGGGGTGACAACAACTGGAAATACTCTTTTCTTCCTTTCCTTTTTCAATTAATTCTCTTTACAAGGCAAAGAGAAGTGTGCTCGTATGAGCACTTCTATCCCCACTTGCTGCGCTGAGCCCTGTGCTATTCTGTAACGCTCTCCTCCCTTGCATTCAGTGTCTTTTATTTGCGCGGCTGTGCTCTGTTGGCCCTTTCACTCTGACTGTGGTTTAGCACTGTGCCTGCAGCTTCCTGACCAAAACCTTCTGTGTGAAATTATTTGGCTGGCTTAAATCTTGCTCCAGTTCCATGTGATACAAGGTACAGCCATTTGGACTTTCTCTCGCTCTCTGTGGCATCGTAGTTTTCTTTACAATTAGTTTTATGAGCCGTTTGCCTGCAAACTCGGTCGCTTTGAACTACCCTGTGCACTGGCTCTTCCTCTTCTAGTTTTTACTGTTCTCCTTAGTCAGGGAGCGTAAGCAGAACTGGCTTTATAGTGATCTCTCCTTTAACACGCTTCTCTGCAAGACTGCAGAGAAGTCTCTACTACCAATGGTTTTGTGGCACTCCAGTTTTAATGGATGTGCTCAGCTGAAATACCCAGTAAAAAGCCATTTTAGATCTTCAAGCCAAGCCAGATTTTTCTACACATAGTTAAAAACTGTAGTGCCCTAAACAGAAAAGCTCTTCTGCAGCATTTTCTGTATGACTTGGGTCAAGATTATAAAACATTTGTTTGTCATGTGCCACAGATCAGCATCTACTGATCCTGGAGAGACTCTTCACGTTTCTCAGGCCTGAACCTGCTACAACTGTTGAGTGTCATGGTGCTTTCGGGGTTGTTGCAGGGGGTTCTTGCGTGCAGGATGTTTTCATATCCTGGCTAATGAAATAGAGGTGTCTAGACTTAATACCCAGGGAAATGAGATTATAAAAGTTTATAAATTACGTATTTTAGCCTAGGTAACTTGCAAAGTGCCTTCCTTTAGCAGACGATTATAAATTCGTGTTGTTTTATGAAACTTCACCCAAGTCAAAGACCTTTCACCTTCTTTGCAAAATGATCTGAATTCTCTTAGTGATCTGTAGCCACAAATGAAAGAAATGTGAATAGCCAGGTCCTCATTTCCTGCTGCTCTAACTCTGTTTACATTCAGAGGACTTACTGTGGTAGGCAGCTGACCCTCTCCTTATATTTATGGCAATGATTACCAATTTGGTTTCTCTGGGTTATTTACCATGTCTGATTCTTGGTTTCACTAAAGGTCTGTGCAGCAGTGTTACATGGTTGATGGGGAATGTCTTGGCCGTGTGGCTAGTTGAATCCCTCGGGACCCATCAGACCTTGGAAATGATGTGCCCGATGAGCTCCCCATGGAGCATAAATGCAGAAGAGTTTCACTAACTGGTTACCAAATGCATTCTCCTGTTCAGAAACATATTTGTTCTGATGAAAGGAATAGCAGCTGGGAAACTACTTAAAGAAATAACTAAGGTGAAATCAGTGGGAATTCAAACTGAATGGGTAAAGGGAGGGAGGGAAGTGCTGATATAAACCCATTGAAACAGTCTCGCTACAGACTAAAAAATGAGACAGATATAAATCATCTTGGCTTTTCTGACTTTGGGAAGGCAGCCCTGATCGAGAATAACAAAGAAAATCCTGAAAGCAGTCAAGAAGTCACATTGACTCACTGCCTGTTTCTGCTCCTGTGTCTCATGCAGAGCTGCTAAAGAATTTGCCACCTTCTTTGTGAATGTCAATGTCACATCTGAGCCTCATGAAGTCTCCGCTCTCTGGTTCCTGTGGTACGTGAGGCAGTGTGGGGGCACAGCCAGGATTTTCTCTGTCACCAATGGGGGCCAGGTACAAAATGTCTCATATTCTTCCTCCTCTCTTGAAACCGTAAAGAGCAAGTGGAGTGTTGTACCCATCAAAGCCCTGCAATTAATGAAAAGAGGACGAAACACCAAGTTCATGTGGCACCAGAGAAAATGGTGTTCTTATGGGGTGGAACATCCTCTGGCTAACTCTGTACAATGAGGAATTTTATTAGCTAGACTTTGCGATAAATTGGGACAATTTAATCAATTGTTTTTTCCTGCATTCACTTTAGCACAGTCCTTTTGTTGCTGTTTTGTTGCTTTTTTGCCAATTTGTTTTCTATGGGACTTAGCACATTTGAATGTTTTCAGGAGTTCAAAGCAAGTGTACTTCAGAGTGAAATACGTTTTTTTGGCGCTGAAGCCTCTAATGACAAGGGTTGGAAGTAGATAGCAAAAGGCCCTTCCTTCTTGGGTCAGCTCACATGGCAGCATGTTTTATGAGGTACTTCAGACTGTTTCTTGCCTTGGTCATGGCAGGCACCTGGTTGCCTGCAGAACATCATGGTTTTCATGTGGTTGTTCTGGATGAAGTTTCAGAAAAGAAGAGAGAGGGCTGTCAAAGTAATTTGGATGTGGTGTGTCAGCACCCTTTACTAGCTTCCTACCTCGGTTAACGCAGCTTCAGAAAGCACGTCTGCAGCATTGCAGACTTAAGCTACCAACAGCAAAGTGGAGACAGTACCACACCCTTCCAAGTGTGCCGAGATAGGGAGACGTTAAGAGAAGTTGCCTGGAGAGATGTGAAGTCTCCATCAACATCTCTTCATTGGGGTAAGAATAGACAACCATCTGTCAGGAAGGGTGTAAGTAGACCTAATGCTGCCCTGAGGTAGGAGCAAGACCCAAGAGCCTTCTTCCTCAGGAGCCCCTCAGCCGCATTTGCTGTCCCTCATCAGCAACTGCTAGATGTTGCAGCAAGAATTAAAATTAATCCCAAGATACTCATGGCTAAACAAGACATGGAGAGGGGAAAGCTAGCCTGGGAAGAGCACTTCCTTTTCTTTGTGCCTGGATGGGGCAAGCTGTCTTGGTTTCTACCATCCTTCCCTCTCCCCTCACCCCAATCAAAATCAGCTGAGCAAAAACGCTAAAGGTTTCTTGGCGGCCATGACGAGTCTTCTTCAGGCAGCCGTCTCAGTCTTTCAGTACAAGACTGTGGATCCTTTCCTCCCTGCCAGTACCAGCATCTTATACGTAAAAGTGAGCTGCTTGATATTACGCTGGTAGCTGGTAGACAAAAGAGGGTTAGTGCTTCCCCTGAGCCTCTGCACAGACATCGCAAGGAAATATGTGTCACAGATTGTGCTTTTTTCCAGACAGCAATGTCTTTGTGTTTTCCCAGGGACAGATAAAGCTCATTGCCTGCTGCACTGGAGGCCGGATCCAGTTAAAGATCTGTCTTGCTTCTGGGCTGGTGCAGGGTTTTGCTGTACAGATGCAAGTTGGTGTCTTTGTCGTACATGAGGGTTTTGGTAGCACAGTGATGGGTAAAATACTCAAAACCTCCTTTTAATGAAGTGACATATTTATACTAGCTAGAATATCTGCATTATATTTGTTTGTTCTCTAGGCTTCAAGAGTCTTTAAGCCAGCTAATTGAGGAAGCCATTGCAAAAGTGGTTTAGGCAGCAATCCCCACTGAGGCTCAGGTTTATGCCTTCACTCTTCTGAAAGTCTGGGCCTCTGTGCACCCTTAGGACTTGCAGATTTGTCCTGGAGTTTCTTGGTTATGAGCAGAAGTCATATTCAATGTCATTGTGATTAATGCTGGTGATTTTTTGTTTGTGTTTCTTTTCTGTTTGTTTTTTAGGAGAGGAAGTTTAAAGGGGGTTCTGGTCAGATATCAGAGAAAATAATGGAACGCCTCAAAGGCAGAGTTAAACTGGAGAGACCTGTGGTCCGTATTGATCAGACAGGTGATAATGTCATTGTGGAGACTCTAAACCATGAGATATATGAGGTAATTTGATCAGAATAAAAGTAGAGTATGCATTTAGAGGGGGAATACATCTGCTGTAGCTCTTAGCCAGATGTAATCAGGAAGTACCCATTTGTGTGTGTCTATTTCTCGGACTATGCTGACACTCTGTGAAACCTGCTTTACGGATTTATTTATGACTGGGTCTCTTCTTGGTGTTCTGCTAGTTAGTTTCTGTCATTACTCTGCCTTTTCTGCTTAACTTTTTCTGTGGTTATATATTTTTACATTTTAGTTCTGCATTGAGACCATTTCAAAGAAAGGAAAAATAACGTTCCTGTTCATATCTAAGTTTGTGGTTTGCAGAACAAAAAAAGGACATTTCAAACACCTTTAGTAAGATTTTGCCCCTGTGCAGTGGCGCTGTGAAATGCTCTGTCAGTACATGATTACCCGCAGTGACACCCACGAGGCAGCAGCTCCCTTCTACACACAGAGCCCAGCCTGCCACGGGGGTTTCTGCAGGACCGTCATGGTCTGCAAGACGCCTGTCTCACCGGTGTCAGCGTTTGGAGGATATTTAGAGAAAGTGAAAAGAAAGGGAAGGGGCTGTTTGGCAGAGAAGCCAGTCTAAGGATGTCCTGGAGGAGGGCCTGTCTTCCTCCCCCAGGGATTTTTAAACCACTGGCTTCTCCCTCCATGCTGGCTGAGCGGCAGCCAAGTCAGCAGAGACAGCCTCCCTGCACTCAGCGGCCCCACCAGCGTGAGAGCGCTTGAGAGCAGCAGCGTCTGTTGTGATATAGTGTCACCCTGAGCCCCGAAGCAGAGCGTCCTTCATCGCTCCAGTCAGAGACAGGACCTGCGAGAGGGATGGAGCGTGTTCAGGAAAGCTGAAATCACCATCGGTGTTGCTTGTCCTGAAGTAGTACCCTGTGAACATGCACAAAAGTGATTTTTTTTTTTTTAACAGCTTATAATTTGGACAAATGAGGGTCATATTTTCCTGGGGATGATAAAAGGCAGTTTTACCTATGCCATAAGATCTATCTTGTCCCATTTCCACACCTGTCTCCAGCCAAGTTTCAACTCTGGTCCTGTAGTGTCCGGAAAGCTGTCAAGAATCAGCTAACCACAAAACAACATGTTTTTTCCAGCTCCTTTTTCTGAAATGGCAGAATTATTTTGGTTACCTGGAAATATCTGTGTGGGAAAGCCAAGTAGCAAGGTCAGGAGTGGGAAAGCTGTTAACAGCTAATAAGAGCATCTTTCAAACGTGTCCTGGGGGGCAACCTCAGTGAGAGGCAGCGCCTTGTCTGTACTGACTGTGGTTTATGTTTCAGGGCAAGTATGTGATCAGTGCTATCCCTCCGATCCTGACAACGAAGGTTCATTACAAACCAGAACTGCCACCAAAGAGAAACCAGTTAATTCAACGTTTGCCTATGGGGTGTGTCATAAAATGCATGGTGTACTACAGGGAAGCCTTCTGGGAGAGGAAGGGTATGTGGGGAAAGTGAAGGACTCGGGAGCCCCATGCTACGTGAATTTTGAAGCTCTGCTGTCTGGCAGGGAATAAATCCAAGAGGGGATTAATCGTGCAAAACCCCCAAACCAAACACACAGAAAAGTGAAAGGTAAAGCTCCTTAGAAGGAGAGCTCTTCCTCTAAGCTTGAGTGCACACTTTGTCCCAAAGATGAGTCCAGACCCAAATAGGATCCTGAATCTCATTGTTGCTAGCTGAGGAGGGACGACTGAGAGAGAAAGCAAGGTTTCCCTGGGAAGCATTGCTGAAACCTGCAGTGCACAGAAGCAGTGACCATGCAGCAGCAGGTCCCTGCTTCTCCCTGCCAGGGACAGAGTTAGGGCAGCCAAAGAGAATCTACAGCAGATGACAAGGAGAGCTTAAGGTGTAAGCAAGACCTTTCCCTGTTTTTAATCCTCTGTTCTACAGACTTGGTATCTCAGAGGACTGGAAAAAGTAGGTTAGCTTTTTGTTTAACTTAAGATATTTTCTCCATGTGCTGCTACATCATGTGTTTCTCAGCTTTAACTGATACCATTTCCAGAACTATTTGTATGAACAGATCCGTTTCCACTTCCTATGTAATGATACTGAGAGTTGCACTGGGCGAGAATATTTCTTAATCAAAAGAATATAATTTTGCATGTTTCAGGGCATAAACTGGCCATTGGAATTAGAAAGAAATGTAGGCAGGTTTATACACTGTTATCTATGTGGGACTTTTTGCATGTTCATCTGAAACATGTACTGATGTGATACTAGATTAGACTGATTACTGTTATGGGACACCATTCCTGACAGTCTTATTGTTAGCAAAATCAATTTGTAAATTTAAGCCCGCAGTGACCGGATGTAATTATACTGAGTTTTGTTGCTGCGGTTGTTGTTACTCATGGTTGAAGTTACTCATGGAATGAACCATCATAGTTCTTGCTAGATCTATTTATTTTTAATGTTTATTGCTCCCAATATAGAAAACCAAAGGGTCTTGCAACAATCCACAGAAATTCCTTGCTAAGTAATAATGGAATTTAAATATGACTTTTATAAGTCTGTGTACAAAATTTCCCAGAGTCAGAGGGAAGAGAGCAGAGAGACTGTTACAAAAGCACTTCGGACATGTAGGTATTATTGGTGACAAAGGAATTACTGTACAATTCCTTTTATGGATAATTTTCCTTGCTCATTACTATCAGAAACAGTGATCTTCAACAAGTTTCTCTGACAATCGTTTTGTTTTCTTTTCCTTCCTTAGGTTATTGTGGTTCCTTCATCATTGAGGATGAAGAGTCCCCAATTGGAATAACCCTAGATGATACGAAACCTGATGGATCTTTCCCTGCCATTATGGGGTTAGGAGCTTCTAGCCCATACTTACAGATGTGTATTTCTTTTTGTATGAAGGAGTGGGAGGAGGAGGAAGAGGGGAAATGGCCAGGTTACATCAGTGGTGCCCACTCCTCCCACAGTCTTCATAGAGGGAGGAGAGCACTTCTGACAAGCCTCTTGTGCCTCTCTAGTCCGTATAAGCTTTTAGGTGAAGCTGCTCCTACAAATAGCCTATTACAAAGGAGATGGTTGGGAAGGAGTTGCTGAATTCAGCTGTAGTTCATTTTAAGCATTCAGTTAATGTTTTTTTTTGCTGTGGAGTAGATTTAGAAATAAATCCCTTTCTTACCTAGCTTTGTGAGCCTGTATTCAGCTTATGTTGGGCCTTGTATTTAGCACCTGGGCCGAAATGAAAATGCAGTTGTCCAAGAAATCCTCATTTGCCTCCCCTGCCCATGGAGCTGAGGCAGGACAACAAATGTCAGCTGGTGGCTGAGTGGGGCAGCAGCTATGCAGTGAAGAAACTGGGATTCTGAGGAAACTGCCAAGTAAAAAAATTGTAGTTTGGACAAACAGATGGGAAAATATGTAACAGCATTGACTGGCTTTTAAAATAGGTTAAGCCAATATGAACAAACAATCTTTACAAACGTTTCTACTAATTTGAGCTGAGACTGCCAAAAAAAGGCCAATATAAATGTCAGGCAACTACTCCTTAAGTATCTGGCAAGGAAAGCTTGCCACTTCTACTGAATTGTACATGTTTATGGGCATATTCAAAGCTTAAAAACTTCCAGGACCTGAGAGCAATAAGCCTCCTCCAAACCCCATATGGCAAAGTTTCCTACTTTCTCCTTGTGGATTTTAAAAGAGTGCAGGAACATACTTCATCCCCTGGGTATCTCCACTAAGGTCAGATGAACTAATCATCAAATCTGTTTCCTTCAAGCTGAATAAATATTAATCACAGTTCTTACAGGACTGGTCCATGACACTGTGCAGTGCTTGTCAGAGCAGCAAGCTCCCATCACTTACTACCATCAAATGACACGGGCAGTGATATGGCCAGCTGTCTGTGAGACTTCAAAAGCTCAAGGAAACTCAGGGTCTCAGTCCTTTTGGATAAGACCTAGGTATAAGAGGGTAGGCAGTGCAGGCTAGTTTGCTGGACACTGTTGTCTCTCTGCCCACTTTGGGTATAACTTTGCTCTCCTGAGTCAGTGGGGATGGAGAGTTCATTTTCACGGAGCAAAATGAGGCCAGTGCTGGCAGCTTTGAAAACATACTTGCAATCCGCAACTTTCTGATCTGGTAGCTGCCAGGCAGTCCTCTGCACCTGCCCCCTGGGAATGCATACTTTCCCTTTCAATTAACTCCCCAGGGTACCCCGCACAGGCCTTTTCACACGTGTGACCTGTAATTACTAAGTGATGAAGTATGATGAAAAATGTCAAGCCGATTACATACTGGTAAAGTGCTTTGCCCATCTTTTTTAGAGTCATTTCAAGCGAGAGCTTGCGAATCAGCTGGGGTGCTGACACTGCGTGATATTTATATGCCATATTTTTCTTTTCAGTTTCATCCTTACCAGAAAGGCTGTTAAACTGGCCCATCTCAGTAAGGAAGAGAGGTAAGAGTTCAGAAACTGTAAATATTTCAGAAAGAAGTCAGTTCTCTGGGATGCTGCCTCACAGGAATATGTGTGTGGATATGTGTGCGCATATGCACGTATACACATGCTCAGTGCAACTACCAATACTGGAAATTGGGGCAAAAATGGAGCATTTAGCCTAAACAGGCCAAGACACTAATGCTAATATCCATCCAGTTATGGATATTTCTGAGTTTCCAAGTCCTGCCCACTCTTCCATGTTTTGACTTATCAGCTCTGTGTCTCTATGTGAACTGAGAATATTTTTCTGAAGACATTCCCAGACTGCATTCCCACTGAAAGATGCTTCACCCTAGGGATAGGGAGCGCTGACATGCATAGTTTTGGGTGTCCTTCACATTCAGACTGGATGATAAAATTTTTAAACGTCCGTGTTTACAACAGTATGGTTTCTCTATTAGTCTGTGAAATGAACAAACAGTACTTTCTAAACGTGATTTTTGGTATGCATCCAAGTGAAGGAGTAGTTCTGCTTAGGAGTGTGAATAGTATTCTCCAGCTCATATTTTGTTCTCAGCTATAATAAATCTGTAGGGATTTCATTGATTTATATTGCTTCTCTTCTGGTCTTACATCAGTGAACATGAGAATGAATTGGCTCTGCATCCTAAAATAACTGTACAAAGATTTATTTTTTCAGAGCTCATTGCCAAAATCAACCTTCATTTCCCATTCCCTGGGTCCATTTTGGATGTCACATTTAGGCATCAGCATTTGAACTAAGCATTAAGATAAGAACTTGAAATCAGACTTAAAAACAAAGCCAAACCCAACTTTCTTTCCAATGTATTGCAATAAATGTGATTTTTTTATAAGAAGAGCAATAGCTGAGAGGGGTTTTTCCACCTTTTTTTTTCTGACTCTGATTTTATTTTCATATAGGAAGAAGAAGATCTGTGAGGCATATGCCAAGGCAATGGGGATGGAAGAGGCTTTACATGTAAGAAATGCATGCCTGTTTTCACCTCTGTTGTACAGTAATGTTCCTTCTTTGTTCTGGAGCATGAAGCCAAAATTTCTGCTAAAATGTGTACCTAAAATTGCATGTTGTGCCATACAATCTGTACTCCCAAGGGGAGGGCAGCAGCATCTAGTACAGGAAGAAAAGAGCTGCCAGTCTCACTCTTTACAAGAAAAGAGAAGGCAGTGCATGGTTTAATTTGTCTTGTCATTTCCCCACGGGAGGCTAGTGCTTCTGTAAAAGTGCAAAGATTTGTTTTGTGCAGATGGATAGCATCAGCCAGATGACATGGCACTCCTTTGACAGGTATCTTTAGCCTGTTTTTTCCCTCTTCAGAGGAGATTTGTTTTTTATTTCCAATTTCTCTGCCAGTGTTTCACTCTCTAATGTTTGCTAATACTTACAGCCTGTGCATTATGAAGAAAAGAACTGGAGCATGGAGCAATATTCAGGGGGTTGTTACACAGCCTACTTCCCACCAGGCATAATGTGTTCTTATGGAAGGTAAACCGGAGAATGTTTTGCTTTCTAATTTACATTTCTTAGCTCATGTACAATGATATACTTTATGCAACACTTATGGCATATGTAGCATATTGGGGGAACTCAAGCCCTCTTTCTGCTCCCCTACTCCCCAGCTAACAAGGATCTCGCTATTGACTTTAGTAAGAGCAGGGTTTCTCTTGTGACTTTTGAGGAAACAAAGCACAGTCACAAAGGGACCTGCTAGAGCCAGGAAACCTTTCCTCGCTACGTTACTTACAGTATTTGCAATAGATCCCTTTAAAGCTTTCTAAGACCTTGAGGGCACACATCTTGGACAGAGGAGAGTCTTCACTGATTGTGTAGGTGGAGCATCAGGTTCTGGTGAAGCCCATTGAGTCACATCACGAGGGGAAGACACAAAACCCTTACATGAAAACTCATTCACTCCTCCCACCCAACAAAGCCTCCCATGCCCTCCCCATGCAGAATTGCTGTATTCCTAAAGGAACGTGTGAGATAATACTGATTAATACTAGGTATATCACTGAAAAGTGTGTGGAAGGCACGGTTCAGACAGACAAATCTTGTATCTATAGCCAAAGACCAGACAAACCATGTAGCACGTCGCAGCGTGAGCTCCTTAGCATGTCCATCACGGAGTTACACCCTGCCTCTGTGCCAAGATGTGTGTGGGAAGAAGTCATCCCATGCACAGACTCTTCTGCTGTAATTTATCTGGACACTTGGGTAGTGATGGGTGAGGCCTCTGACCTGGGGAAGCTGGTGTCAGGCAGACAAGGAAAACCTAATCGGGGGTTAGATGGGAGCCCTCAGAGCAAGCACATCTCTCTGAGGGAAAGGGGGAGCTCATTACCTAAGGCTGGGTTGACGGGGATGCTTGTGCAGCTTTGCCCAGCTGAGGGGCTGGCTTATATGACCCTGTGGGGCGAATGCAACTCCCTGAATGCGGAGGCCTTCAGCCACCATCCCCGTTTGGTGGGACTTGCAGCCAGGCAAGTCCAGCCTCCAAATAGAAGCTGGTATTAGTGACCCGTCCCTGCAAAAACATCATTCACATCCCATTGTAATGGCAGGATAACAACAAAGCTGCCATGCAGAAGATGTAAATCTATCAGCTGCACTGCATTTCTGGAGGCTGTTAGGATTATCCCTTATCCCAGCACTAAAATAAGGCTCATATTATTTTGCACGGGAGCTGGGCACACTGATTTATGCCTTAGATTTTCTCTCTCTCAGATCTTGAGTTTTGTGTAGAGAAGCAGGTAGGTGGTCCTGCAGGGACAGCTTATTGCACCGTGCTCCCCAGCCCAGGTCTGCAGGAATTCTGGAGAACTGAAGTTTGAGCGCTCCATCAAAGCCCATAAATTGCTTTGAGAAGGATCATCGCCTTCCTGTTACTTAACATCTGACATTCTCCATTTGTTTTTGAAGGATCATTCGCCAGCCTATTGACAGGATCTACTTTGCTGGCACGGAGACAGCTACCCAATGGAGTGGATACATGGAGGGGGCCGTACAGGCAGGAGAGAGAGCAGCCAGAGAGGTACAGACTGTTGGTTTGCTTTCAACATCTGTATTAAAAGGTTAGAACGGATGAAGTACAGCTCCGAGGGTCTGATTTTGTGCATCGCACCCTGTAATTGTGCAGAGGCTCCTGGAATTGATGGGGAAGAATCCCAGAAAAGGATGTGAACCAAAGCCTTTCTTTTTTTAAAACTTCACTTAGTTTGCTATTGAATAAAGTGAAGCCAAGAATCTCACCCAAATCAGAACATTATGCAGTGTGTTGCTGCACTGGAGACTTAAAACGAAGCTCATGCTGTGTACCTCATGTCTAGAGGAAAAAACCTTCCAACCTGATGCTGCCCTTAGATATACTACCACAATTTCTAACAAATTAATCACTGTATGTTTTAAAAGTAATTTAAGTCTAACAAATGATTGCAGCTATTTCGTATGCAGCAATCTGGAAATCTGAGCATTGTTCTCATTTTTGATCTATCCCTTCTGCTTCTCCTTTTACGAGAAAGAACCGTTAGCTCGGCTTTATGAATTCATAATGGGCGGCTCTGATAATGTCTAAATCTCTTCAGAATGACACGCATTGGGCTGGGTTCCCAGTCACCGTGAAACCCCTTTACAACAGTCTGGAGGGAGGAAAAAAAAAACATTAAAGGGTGTACATTACAGTTACAACTGCTGTGTGGCAGAGCCACGGAGCTGTTATTTAAGGGAAAATCAGCCCTTTGCTTCCATTTGACAGAACATCATATTCGCCCTATAATCCTCATTACTTGCTCTGTTTCAAGTCACCTAATTTGTCTTTTCTCCATGCCTGTGAGCAGTAGTTATAAAGACGGTTAGCTGTCTCTTCTGGAGACATTGATTTTCCCCGGAGAACGTCCATGATTGTTACAATCAGTTTATTCTGAAGAAAAATCCTCTATGAGCTTCGTACTGCCTGAATAACCAAGAGATAACTTTGTAATTGTATGCTTTGAAAGCCCCAGAGTTGTATCTCCCCTCTTTCTAGTTTGTGCTCCAAGCAGCATCACTGCTAACAGGCTTTGCATCCCGAGTGTGTGGCGGTAACCTCACCTTGCTGTTTCTCAAACTGTCATGTGAAAAAGCATTTTTACTTGTACTCAGGAAAAAAATTAAAATAAACATCTGGAGAAGCTGTAGTTCCTGTGGATTTCTGAGCGAAGTCCTACTTTTTACAAATGAGTCTCTGAAACTGCCCATTTATCCTTAAAACACTGGTTAGGCACACGACTGTTTGATGAACAGCTGTCATATATCTACACAAACTACCAAAACTGCTGCCTCCTCCTTCTCTCTTTGCTGATATAAACAGAGAAATTACTATACATTTTCTGGGTCAAGGCACTTTGAGCTAGTCATAGTTACGCCTGTTATCAATGTCACCTTGCTCTGACTTGCTCTACTTTTCCAAAACTGAAAGTAGCGTGGGTTTTAATTTTTTCTCACGTGGTACAAATAATTTTTTCTTCTAGATATTGCACAGTATGGGGAGGATCTCAGAGAATGAAATTTGGATGCCAGAGCCAGAGTCGAAGGTAAGCAGACTTTCTCGCTGTCGCCCGGTCAGGCGCACACCCCTCGGTCAGGCTGCGGTCCCTGTTTCGGCGATTCCTATGGGGCCTGCCCCCGAGCGAGGTTTTGTTTACCTCACATGCTGATGGTATTCATTTTTTTGACTCGTCCAAGGAATATTACTACCCCTGTCTGAGGGGTGGATGGCCAAGCACCAGGGACAAAGATCTCGGAGCCTGGGGCACTGCAAAATGCAGGAAATCAGCCTAGTTCTGCCCAGTCCCAGGCCATGGTTTTAAGCCAAATGTAACTTCCTTCCAGTCACAAGTAACTCCACCTTTGCTCTCCTGTGGCTGCTCGGGATGACAGAAAATACGCGTTTCACAGCCCTGAGCCTCCTTCCTACCCCCCGTCTGGTCCTCGGGGAAAACCTGTGCTCTCCCCAGCCTAGTGGGGGATGTTTGCCGCTTCCCCACTCGCACGGTGAGGGAGACCCTGCAGTGGTACCATCTCCTCTCTCCCCCAGGATGTCCCAGCCCAACCGTTCACCACCAGCTTCTGGGAGAGGAACCTGCCGTCCGTGCCGGGACTGCTGTGCCTGCTTACCTCTACCGTGTGTTTCACCTCTGTGGCTGCTGCGGGGCTGTTTGCCTATAAAAAGGGACTACTAATTCGAAACTAGTGGGGACCACACGTCCAGTGGAAGTGCATACTCCCTCTTCTTCCCTTTTACCAGATGAGTGTTATTTTTGGAGAGAAGTGGCACAGACAGCTGGAAAGGGCAAAAGTTGTTCTCCTTGTGATTTTTCTTTCTAGCACCGTAATTAATGCACCAAATCTACTGCAGTTGCTACCAGCGAAACAGAAATAAATCAACTGTGGGGGCATTTTTCAAATTTGCCTTTTCCGTGTCCATTTGTTTTGATTGGGCATGATAACATCGATGATATATTCCTTGCACAGGGAAGGCAAAATGCAGATCATACCTTTCCCGTAAGGCAAAGAGGCCTTGGAGAACGCATTCGTTTCCACTTGCTGCTTTATTTTTTACCACACGAGATAATAAATACCCTTATGTATTCACCTTGGTAAGCAGCTCGGAATATCTGAGGTTATTCCTGTAACATCCCCACTGCACAGAAGAGATTAGCATGCCAATCAGATGTAGAATTGCCAAGTTAATTTTCAAATGCATTTGATTAATTATTAATCATCACAACGTGAAACTTAACCACGAGCTGGTTGAAAAGAGGTAATTAGTACGAAGCAGCTCGCTAAACGGCGAGAGAGGAAGCGCGAGTGGACTTTATTCATCCCGCTACTGAGCAAACATCCGTGCTTATCTGTTCCGCAGAGTGCCTGCGTTGGTGCGGCACGGCCACGGCGCGGCTCTCGGTTGCTTCCTGGCCCAAAAGCATCTGATCCAGCCCGGCCGTTCGCTGTTGAAGCGGAGTGAAATGAGTTAGCAAAGTTAAAACCCCTCCAACTTGCAGCAGATGCTAGCTGTTATTTTCCAAATGGCAGCAGCTTCCTGGCTCCCTGTCAATTTGCGGCCCCTCATTTTGCTCGTAATCTGCACTGCCTTCCTCCAATAAGGAGAAATATATTTGGGTCTTGAATTACTGCCTTGTAAATTACAGTGATTGGATGCATCTGCCTGTTCCGCTCTTATTATGTACACGACACACTTAAAATAATTACTTTAGTGTTTAACTGAAATCTGGAATATATGTTTCACAACGTACCATCATTATGTGGTCTTTTTGCCATGAAATGTGAGCGTTGTATGTGTCCATGAACTCAACTGTCATTCAACATGGGTGAAATGTGCCTTTCAATAATCCTGAAACCTTGATAAGAGGAGCTCTTCTATAAACTTTTCTTCAGATTCTTTCTCGTGTTGGTTTTTTGTGAGTTTGCGGAAGGTGGTGTTTCTCCGCACCTGTGTTAAATCACCAGGCACATCACATGCAGCAGCCACCAAACCCTTGCTCTGCTCGATATGATCCATATGTATATGCCAAGAGAAATACCTACCTACCCAAGATGACTTTGCGCCTGGCCTCTGCTTCAACCACATTGGTATGTCCTCTCACTTTTTTGGACCAAAGCCTTGTAGACACTGTAAGTGCAGACGAATCTCAGCCTAGGTGCTGGTGGGCTCCAAACCAGAAGCCCTTTCCAGAGGGAAGGGGTGCTTCAGATGGCCCCTCGTCATCAGATGCGAGCAGGTGCTCAGGGTGCCAGTGTTAAGCACCACACAGAAGAGGTTGTACAGACAGTGCATGTCTCCTGAGCTACTTTGTTCATTGTTCGCAGCTATTCTGTGTGAGGATCAGCCAGCCACTACCAATTTCTCTGGGGGGCGGGGGGGGAAGCCTGAACAGATTATTTATAAGAAAACTGTCAACATTTTCAGCTTCAGCTTTCCCATCTACTTTGCGCTTATGCACTTCAAATTATCCACACTGAAAACGAGAGAGTAGTCTCAGTAGGAAGCAGCAATGTTGGATTTTGAACACACTAAACTGTAGTATTAAATGCTTATTTAAGTGATTTTTTTGACAGGTCATTTGACAGGTCGGTTTACCATCCACCTCAGGAACATTTTAAGGGGGAGGAAGTGACTAACATGAATTGCTGTTCATCTCGAGGGCTCCCTGCAGATTTTATCCCCAGCTCCAGCCATTACCAAGCAGGGATTCCTGTGCGCTAGGACTACCCCGAGCACGCAGCCTGGCACAGCCACAGTGCCCGCCCGAGGGCTCAGGGAGGGAGCACAGGCTCGCTCCTCACAAGCCTTTTGTGGCGTGAAACGGTTCTGCACCGTTACACACTTCCCCCAGAGGGATATTTCCACTGCCTGAAAAACACTGTCCACATCTGTTCAGAAATATTCATCCATACCTGTATTTGTGGCAGTTAGAGCCATTCATTTTTGTGCTGACTTTAAACTTGACATCTGAATTTCACAGCTTTTGTGTGCACATGCAAAAGGCACCCCAGATCACCTGGAGTACACCCTTGGGCTGACACCATCCAGCTTCGCTTTTCACCTTATCCATGCACATTTCTATTGCAATTTGTTTGGGTTTTGAAGTGCAAGTTCAATTCAGCTGAACTAGTCTCAAACCTGTTAAACAGGGCCAGGTACAATGTTCCCCACTTTGCAGGGAAAAAGCACGTCTCACTGCTGTTGGAGTGGTAAGCGGCAAGTGAAATGAGAGAGGTTGATTAAAATTGGCATTTCTGAAACTCCTGCAGCTCCCAGGCACCACGCTGCTGCAGAGAAAGGGCAGCGTTTGTCAAAGATTACAGACCAGTTTCCATCCTGCTTTAATGCCCTTTCTGACAATCAGAACAATTTCCCTGTTTAAACATTAAACATTTTGCTTAAATATTAAACAGCCAGGCATCTTTCTTAAACCAATTTTGAAACAGAATGGGACTGAGTTTATTACCGCTGACAACTCTCCAAGCAAGCCGCTGCCTTTATTAAAACCATGAGGCTGAAGCATCGTGGAAACACCTCTTTCTGCTGGGGACCGAGCAGAGTCCTCACCCAAGCCTTGGGGTGACCAAGGAAAGCCTTTGGTGACCTTCCCTAACAGGGGTGCTCAGTGCCCCAGTTGGTGGAGGAAGAGCCCTGCACCCCCTTGGCAGAGATGGGAGATGCTCTGTCCTCTAAAAGTGAGGGGTGAGACAGGAGAGGCCAAGGTCCACACCAAGTCCACCGAGCAGGGTCCTCACCCAAGCCTTGGGGTGGGAAAGCCTTTGGTGACCTTCCCTAACAGGGGTGCTCAGTGCCCCAGTTGGTGGAGGAAGAGCCCTGCACCCCCTTGGCAGAGATGGGAGATGCTCTGTCCTCTAAAAGTGAGGGGTGAGACAGGAGAGGCCAAGGTCCACACCAAGTCCATCAGCACCAGGGTGGGAACTGAATTGCATCAACTTGCCTGGGAAACAGGAAAGCCTCAGGTGAAAAGGCTGCTCTTTGATGCTTGGAAATAAAGCAAAGACCAGAGCAAGCACTGGCAGAAGGAGCAGCAGAGTGGAAAGAGAGAAAAAAAATAGGCTAAGCCTCCATTCTAGCAGTGAAATAAGAAGCACCACGGAGCAGATAGATCAGGCGGTCCAAAAGAAGCAAGCGGAGATGATGCATGTGAGAGAACCTGCCTCTTTTTTGATTAAATTGCAGGTTTTGCTTACAGATACCACAGCAGCTGTGCCCAAGCCCCTCACAGCATGTCACATAATTAGCCTTTCAACACCTTTGAGAGCCACAGAAATCGGCATTGGGGATGGAAAAACACCCCTGTAAGACTTGTGCGTCCCACCTCCGTTCTGCCCCACTCCCCTCGGCTGCAGCTCCCACTTGTGCAGTGCAGCACAGCTGCCCCCTCCCTGGCTGCCATCAGCCAGCCCCGTGGGGACGGGGACCTCGAAACAGGATGGGCTGCTGGGCCATCAGGAGCTGGACGGGCAGGAGGCATGGGAGGAGAGCTGCCGGCTGGCTTTTTTGCACCACCAGCCCAGGGAGGTTCTCCTTCCCTTGTCACCTGCCCGTCACGCAACCTACAAAATGCCCGGTGCAGGAATTGACAACCCGCCTGGTTGGAAACCCACCATGTGAGAGGTCTGGGAAGGGCCCACCATCACGAGGAAGAAGCTCTGGGTTGCAGGGGCTGCATGCTTTGGCGCAGTGGACGTGAACCTCCCCCGGATCAGGCAGCATTCCTCCAGCTGTGCTCCTCGCGCGGAGCAAGGGGGAGGTCTGACCACATTCACCCGGGGTGGTAAAGGTACATCCAGCCTCAAAAGCCACTCTGGGCAAGCAAGTGGTTGCAGGCTGCAGCCTGCGCCCCGTCTCTTCGATAGTCATTCACCAGCAATACTTTCCAGTCCATGTTTGATCCAGCCTCTGATTGCATGTTGTTTGATCTCTTTTCCCAGGATGAAACATAGCCCCAACCACAGGCACAAATTAGCATTATATATCAGAATAAAAATACCACCCGGGGGGATGTGCCAACGTTGCGCAGTCTGACGGGTCGGAACGTGCAGGTTTCCCACCAGTCGGTTCTGCTGCCTGGCAGCAAGGGCTTTCCCTGGCCAGAAACCATGCCGGGAACAAGCTGGGGGCTGGTCTTACATTCTCTGCACAGAGCTCAGCTCCCAGTTCCTGACAGCAGCATCATAGAAAAATGGACAAATCCAGAGGGTCCTCTTCTGTGGAAACATGATTTTAGTCGTTTCTCTTCTTTTCCTTTTGGGCTGTTTCTCTTCCATGGAGCAGTTGGAAACAGGCAATTTTGCTTTGTAAATGTTCCCTGCAACAGTTGCTTTCCACACACACACAGAGAAAGCAAATTTCATCTTGGTGAAAATCCAGAAGGGAAGATTAAATGTGCTCTTTGTTAGTGAACTGTAACTTTTTCTTTTCCCACTCAGCTCCTGCACTTGGCAATCAATGCTTTGGGCTCCAGTTGCAATTCCTGTTCTGCTCTTTATTTGTAGCGCTTGGCTTCCCAGTTTCTGTTCTCTGTTTCTTGCTCTCTTTGGGTTTTTTTTTCTGGACTCATCTTACATAGCAGAGCCAGAATAACCCAGGACACAAAGGAGGAGTAGGGTGAACAATTTTCCTAAGTGAGAATGCATTACTTATGAGAGGAAAGGGAAGCTTCAGCAGAGCGGTGCTGGCCACTTGCTGGGTGCCAGAGGAGGTCAGCAGTGCCTCCGAGCTGCCCGTCTCCTCTTCCAGGGGTTCCTAGGAAATGTGATGTGCCCCAGCCTATAACCATAAACGGATCAGACAGAGGTGAGTTTGCACTGCCTGTGACCTTATCAAGCACAAGACAATATAAGACAGATGTCCTTTGCTGTCTCTATCTTCACGCTGCTATTCTTTCTCTGTGAAATGTAACTGTGAGCTCCACTGCCACTCACGGTGCAACAAGAC